AGATCTTGAAGCAGTTTCGGGATGAGGTAATATTCAAAAATAGTATAGTTATGGAAAAAATGTTTAGGGAGCCTTGGTGGAGCGAAAATCGCCTGGAAGACCGCGTATCACGTCGAAGAACATGGATCGGAACATCGTCCGAGTTTCAAGAGAGGATCCCCAGAGGAGTTCTACGGACATTCAGATGGTCGTGAAGACTCCAAATGAAGTCACACCATCCCTGAGAACCGTCAGAAGACGTCTTCAAGATGCTGGACTCCATGGACGACGGCCAGCTAAGAAACCATCGATCAGCAAGAAGAACAGAATCGCCCGCGTAGCATGGGCCAGAGCTCATCTCCACTGGGGACGTCAGGATTGGGCTAATCACGTGTTCAGCGACGAATCCAAGTTCAATCTGTTCGGTACTGACGGTATCAAGTGGATTCGCCGTCCGGTTGGATGTCGGTTCGATCCCAGCTACCAGCTCCAAACCGTCAAGCATGGAGGTGGATCGGTGATGGTCTGGGGCTGCTTCTCTGGGACTTCAATCGGCCCGCTGAGAAGAATTACAAGCATCATGGATCGCTTTGTGTATGAAGACATCTTGGAGAACACAATGAGACCCTGGGCAAGGTCTACTGTGGGCCGGGCGTTCGTTTTCCAACAGGATAACGACCCGAAGCACACCTCGAAGCACATCAAGGAGTGGTTCCGACGCCGCCACGTGGATCTTCTGGACTGGCCAAGTCAATCTCCGGACTTGAATCCGATCGAACACCTCTGGGAGCATGTCGAGAGACAGCTTAGAGGGGTTCGTGCCTCGAATGCCAACCAGAAGTTCGACCAACTCCAAGATGTCTGGCAGGCCATCCCGATGTCTGTCATCGACACCCTTCTCGACTCGATGCCAAGAAGATGTCAAACGGTAATCGACGCCAAAGGCTTCCCAACGAAGTACTAAAGCTATTTTATTCATTTTCTATTATTATTTTTCGTTTACCGGTCTATCCTAGATCTCAGAAGTCAAAGTTCCATTTACCGGTTTTTTGCAATTTTCATGAATTTTTCGATTTTTTTTCAATTTTTTGAAATTTTGACTATTCTTGTTGTTGAATCAGTTTCTTTTACCGTTTTAAACTTTGTCTTAAAATATCAGATTGATCGGGAAGTTTCAGAAAAGTTATGCTCGAAAAACTATTTGCGAATACCTTTTTGGCCAGTACTGTAGCTCATGTTTTTTTTTTCTGTTTTGAAAAATACATGAGTTTTGGTTCGGACATTGCTCCTCATCAGAAACAACCATTTCATTTACTCTTTTCAAATTTCTAATACCCTCTAATGCAGGTTATACAGTTTAGAAAGGTATTTAGCATTATTGATCAACTTTAAAACTTTTCGAACCCCCTCCAACCAACAAAACACACTTCATATCAGCCACAAAGATTCGATTGGTTTGTTTGTACACACTTTTCAATGTTCATCGGAAAATGATTTTCAAGTGATTCCAGCTGATTTGAATGATGAATCGGAATAAGATAAGCTAATCGAGGGAACAGTTGCCAAGTTTGGACAATTGAATATTCTTGTGAATTCTGTTGGAGGAGTCGTTATGGATAAAGAGGATGGAGTGATGCAAGGAATGGATGTGTTTGATAAACACATGCAGTTGGGTTTGAGAACTGTTGTGACGGTGAAAAAGAAGTTCGTGTCCCAAAAATCCGAAAATTAAGTCGCGACCTAGAAAATCCAAAAATAAAGACAATCCGGATATTCCAAGTTTTAAAAAAACTTTTTTTTACTTTTTTGCTCAAAAAATAGCTAAATTTTTAGTAAAATTGATAAGAATTTTCAATAACATTCAACTGAATTTCCGGAAAAAAACTTTCCGGAAAGAAATGTCTGAGAAAAAGAAAAAACGGACGGTTGTTGGAACAATAGAAGGGGCTGCCCTTCTAATACAGGTTATACGGTTGAAAACGTTTTCAGTATTTTTTTTTCAACTTTAAAACCTTCCAAATCTTTTCTCACCTACAAAACATGGTTCCTAATGGCTACAAAACACACAGATTCTATTGGTCTATACACACTTTTCAATGTTTTGACCGCGGGAAGTCACACTTTATCATAAACCACAAAACTGGAAATTATATAAATAATGGAAATTTTTCAATGATGACAACTTCTACAATGGCTCGATTCTCAGAAAAAGTTGCTTTGGTTACAGGTAAAGTTTACTGCTACTTGAAACTATTTTGTTTATGAATTTTATGAAAACGGTTTCAGGATCATCAAGTGGAATTGGAAAAGCTACAGCTATTCTATTGGCTCGTCAAGGATGCAAAGTGACCATCACCGGAAGAAACACGGATCGTCTGGAGGCTGTGAAGCGAGAGATTCTGAAGAATGGATCATCGGAAAATGATGTTCTAGTGATTCCAGCTGATTTGATAGATGAATCGGAACAAGATAAACTAATCGAAGAAACGATTACCGAGTTCGGACAATTGGATATTCTTGTGAATTCTGTTGGAGGAGCCATTATGGATAAAGAAGGAAAAACCGGAGTGATGCAAGGAATGGATGTGTTTGATAAGAATATTCAGTTGCACTTGAGAAGTGTCGTGATGATGACGAAGAAGGCGATTCCACATTTGATGAAGACCAAGGGAGAAGTTGTTAGTGTTTCGGCAATTGGAGCTGATCATCATGGGGTGAGTATGCACTTGTAGAAACACATACCGTGCAACCTGTAATGGGCCCCTGACTTTTAACTTTGAACCATGTTTTCTCGGTTCCTGTCAAAGATATACCAATTGTCAACTGATAAATTGCTATTATAAAAACCTTGTATCCATTTACACATGTTTGATTAGGAGATAGTTTTGATTAGGAAATAAGGAGATAGTGTCCTAGAAATTCGAATAATTGGTTTCATCGGCCACTATAGTATCTGGACATATGGATTCTCAGACACTAGCTCCGAGTTTTGGGTTTCTAGGCCACTATCTCTCAAAGGGGGACTCCGACCAAAAATTTTTATTGCATTAAAATATGTTAAAAGTTATCTATTTTCCGAATATTATTGCGAAAAAATTCAAAAAAATCCGAAATTCCCAAAAAACACCGTTGAAAAGGAAGAAAATTCAAAAAAAGGTGCCGCCGGGGGGACGAGGATTTTCAGTGAGAAACCTAGGCCACGGCAGCGGGCGCCTTTCCTATGTGGAAAATTTTCCGGATT